AGTTGGCTACTGACAGCGAGGTGGAGGAGGAGACGGAGATGTTCTGGTTGGCGATCTGCACCGTGACGTCCCGGAAAGCCATCATCAGGGTGCTGCTGTGGCCCTGGGGCAGACCCGGGGTCTCGGCGGCCTCTTCCTCGGGCCCTGGACCGGCGCTCTCCTGCTCCCGGATCTCCACCTCCCGGCTGGGCTGCCCCGCGCCCGCGTGCAGGGCTTGGTGGATCTGGTAGGCGCCGCTCTCCTGCAGGGAGCACATGGTTTTGAGGCTCCAGGTGCTGAGGGCGTCGTCGATGGACTTGGCCAGGGACTGCACCTGCTCGGTGAAGGAGTCCTCCAGCTCGGTGAGCGTGCCCGCGAAGGTGGGCGCCAGGGAGGGCGAGCGCACCAGCGGCAGCCCCAGGAGGCCGTAGCCCTCCATCAGTGCCTTCTCGGCCGCCAGGCTCTCCGCGGTGGGGGCGCGCACCTTGCGCAGGGAGATCCGACGCGGCAGGCGGCTCTCCAGGAGCGAGTTGCGGATCTTCTCAAAGTTCTTGCTGAGCTGGTACTGGCGGAAGGCGGTTTGGATGGTGCAAGCGGCGCGCCGGGATACCAGGTGGCCTCCGTATTTGTGTTCTAGCATTTCAATCTGCTAGGACAGATAGGAGGAAGAGCACGGTTAGGGAAGGGGTGTTACAGCCCTTCCAAAAGGCGGGGCTGATGGCTGTCCAACAATGCAGGGAGTCGCCTGGCTAAACTTTGCAAGGACCCAGACTGCACAACTCGGGGGACACTGAGGGGCTCAGGTCTGAAAACTAGCGTGTTGGCAGGAGATACCAGGTCCTTGGCAAGACCCTCAGAAGTGTAGGATGTAGGAATGGGTTCCAGGGCTTGGTAAGGTCTCAGGCAGGGTGGAGAGGCATTGCTGATTGCAGTAAGATATTGCTGGTTTGGGGGTGATTTTAAAATGTTCCTATCAGCCCTGGCCAGTGTTACTCGGTGATCAGAGCCTCCACCTGCTAGGGTAGCAGGTTAGATCCCCCACTGCATGCGGGAGGCAACCAATTGATGTGTCTCTCTCACGTCGATCTCTCTCTCTCTCTCGATCTCGCTCTCGCTCTCACTAGCTCTCTCCCTCTCTCCTTCCCTTCCACTCTCTCTCTCTAAAGAAAGAAAAAATAAATGGAAAAATGTCCTTTGGTGAGGATTAACAAAATAAAATATTCCTATCAGAGATGCATATGGAAGTATTCATGGGTGAAATGCATAATATCTTGAATTTGTATTAAAATACTCCATCAAAAAAGTGGAAGGGTTAGATGAAACAATATTAATAAAAATTGTTGAAGCTGGGTGATGGTTGTAAGGCAGTTTATTCTTTCTACTTTAGTGCACATTTAAAAATAATTTTTAAAAATTAAGCAGAAATGCTTTAAAAATTTGCTGCTACTCTTGTTCTCTGCTCTCCCTCCCAGCATTCCTGTCGCTGCTTTGGGGCAGTCCCTCGGGCATCATAAGGGTTGAGATTGGGGTTTGATCATCTCTGTGTTCCCAGTACCCAGCCCAAGGGCTGGCACATAGTAGGTGCTGAATAAATGTTACTTTAATTACAAGGTTGATGGATGGGTGGAGGATGGAGGATGGATGGCTGTTTCAAGAGTGGGAGGCCCTCCAGGCTGCCCTGTTTTACAATTCCCGTCACCTCTGTGCTCATTGATGGGAGCTGTACCACCAGGGCCCGGCTTGGTGGGGCTGCTGGTGGGGGCACACAGCCTCATCTGGGTAGATCTGAACCAAGGAAAATGTCTGACAAGGGGCCAATCTGTCCTACTTTACTTACATCCTCTCAGCTCCGACCCCAGTCTACGGTCTTTTCTACCCCTTAGGTTATGCTCTTACTTCTCTCTTATCAGAACTTCTCAGAAAAGGACTTGAAAGATATTCCCACTGAGATGTGAATGACCAATAACATTTAGCCATGCCCCTTCCTGGAGATTTTTGCATTTAAATAAGGGACAAGGACTATGTTAAGGGGATGGACACATGGTAGCACTGTGGGCTCCAATCAGTCCTTAGGGAAGTTTAGAAAGTGTCCCAAGGCCCCGAAATTATGTCCTAGTCACAACCATGCATTCCACATACATGAAGTGTCACTCCTGAATTAAGAATCGGGATAAGTGGGCTGAGATAAACAACTTACAGCAAGAACAGCATTATCCCTCCCATGTTCCCCCAGGACCAGGGGTGGGAGGGGTACAGGTAGGCCAAATTTCATTCCTCAATAGGAAGAATCATCCTACTCACTTCCTGCTCCACTCAACCGGCCAGGGACTGCAGCTGGAGTGATTGCCTCCCCATAATCCCAGCAGTCCTCTCTGTTCCCACCCTGTGGGTACCCCACAGCTGGACCAGTGGAGGCACCTTCCTGCCCTAGGAGACCTCACAGATATAATCCCAATCCTCTGGAACAGTCCCAGCTAAAATGATTGCCCTTGGTCCTACCTTCAAGATTCTCTCCTAGTCCCACCACCCAGTGCCCTTACCTATCCTCAAACCTAGCGGCAGCGCCCATTCCTGTCTCTCTCCCACATCCAACCCTCTTCTCTGAAGATAGTTGGAAAACTTCATATTAAGGTTTGGATGGCCCAAAGGCTTCCTATATGACTCCTCCCAGAAGTATTTGCATTTTATAAGGTACAAGAGCTTAAACAGAAGGTAGAAAGCTCTCCCAGTCCTCATGATCTTCATATTGTAGGGGCCTCCAATATGCTCTTTAAAAAACCATACTAAGTGTATTAGTTATCTATTGCTACGTAGCAAGTTACCACTAATTTAGCAGCTTACAACACCCATTTATTTTCTCACAGTTCTGCATGTCAGTAGTCTGGACACAGCTCAGCTGGGTTCTGTCCATGGGATCTCACCAGGCTGAAGCCAAAGTGTCAATCTCATGTAAGCTCAGAGTCCTCTTCCAAGCTCACTGTGTTGAAAGAATTCAGCTCCTTGAGATTTTAAGATTGAGGCCTCCGTTACTAGAGGTTGCCTGCTGTTCTCAGCCACGGGGCCCTCTTCACAGCAGGGTTGTTTGCCTGGTCAAGGCCAATAGGAGAGAGTCTCCCTGATGCTTCACCTTGTTTTAAGGGGTTCAATTGATCAGGTCAAGCCATCCAGGATGACCAACCTTTTGATGAACTCAGCGTCAGCAGATTGGTAACCTAATGATAGGAGTGATCTCTCTCTCTCCATTCTCTAGTCCAGGGGTGGGCAAACTTTTTGACTCAAGGGCCACAGTGGGTTCTTAAACTGGACTGGCGGGCCGGAACAAAAGCATGGATGGAGTGTTTGTGTGAACTAATATAAATTCAAAGTAAACATCATTACATAAAAGGATACGGTCTTTTTTTTTTTTTTTTTTAGTTTTATTCATTTCAAATGGGCCGGATCTGGCCCCGGGCCGTAGTTTGCCTGCGACTGCTCTAGTCCCACCCACACTGGTGGTGGGTGTTGTGCAGGATGTGTACACAAGGGGGCAGGAGTCTGGGGACCCTCTTAGAATTTTGCCACCATACCAATTGGACAGTTGCTTACTGGGTCTTGATCTGAGCATGACCTCATGTACCCAGGAGCTCCAGAGACACACCTGCCTTCCAGGCATTCAGTTCCTGCTTTTGCAGAAATCGTGCCAGAAAGGAAAGAGTACTGTAGCTCAGCTGTTCTCCCTGCAGAACTCTGGCAAGTTTCCTGAGGCCTGGAATGTAGATTGGCCTTGGCTTGTGCAGGAAAGTCCTCCGAGGAGAAGTATAGAGTGAGGGGAACTGGCCACTTACCTGCCCCCTTCTCTCAATTTCTGTCTCCCTCTTACCCCTCCCCAAGCACCTCAAGAGAAACTGACACCAGGTGGAAATTATACCTCTTTTCTACCTGGTCTATTCATTAGGGAAACCCCACACCCAAGAGCATTCATTTCAGGTTATGAGATGCTATTGACAATAGAGGGAAAGTATGAAATCCCATTGCCTGAAATGCTTCCAAAACAGTAAAGGGGTCCCATCCTCCTTGCATGGTATCAAGGAGCCAGGAGGCTGGCTGGGATGTCCCTAGGAGACTTCTACCAGTCACTGTCCATGCTTCATCAAAGTAGAGAAGAAAACCTGATTTTAAATTCTTGAATCTGTTCCATCAAGTCCTCCACTAGATTATAAGCCTCATGAAGGCAGAAACTTTGCCTGCCATGTTCACTGCTCTATCCCCAATGCTTGGAGAATGCCCAATCCATAGTAGGACTTCAATCATATTTATTGAATAAATTAAAGAATTACTTCCAAAGTTATCTTTGTGACTCTCCAAAACCCTTCTAATCTGCCCTGCAACTTTCCTCTCCTAGAACTGATTATCTCACCCTCTCTTGCTTCCTTTGTGCATTTACTTCATCCTCTAGGCTCTCTTTTACTTGTATTTCCCACCCTTACCCTTCCATTGCCCCTTTCCACCAGCCTACAGACTCCCAGATCTCCCCAGGCTAAAACACAATTCTGCTTGGCTCCCCTGCTCTGGGGCACTAGCTCAATCTCTTTTTATTTCCACCAAACCTCTTGGAAAACCAGTCTACACCCTCTGCCTCTCTCTGTGAGCAGATGCCAAATTGCTGATCCAACCCTGTATGCCCTGGCTCCTTGCAGTCTGCCTCCTGCCCCCACCAGTCTTCTAAAATGATCTTTAGTGACTAAATCTAATGGCCCATCCTCAATCTTCCTCCTCCCTCTTTTCTGCAGCTCTTGATATTTTTATCACCCTGAAACTCTATCTTCAGCTCTCCTGTCTCTATAGAGCTCCTTAATCCTACATTTTGACCACCAAATCCCTAAGCATGTTAGTTACAAGTCATATATGTGCCATCTTCTATTCTCCAGACACATTTTAATTATTTTTCTATGCACTTCTGGACATTTTCCATCATTTCTGTTTCTATGTTGGAAGTCATTAGAGAAGCTCCTGGTAGTTGATAATTAACAAGTAATTAAGAGGGAAACTATCTCTGGCAGAGCCTTTGTGGCAACTCTAAGATGTTCTGCAGGATTATCTTACCTCTTGCCTGAGAACCTCGTCCACACTACCATAACTTCACTCTACTTTAATGGATTGATGAGAAAGCCGTAGGGGATATACTCAGTCCTAGATCTACCTCTTCCCTGCTGGTTGACTTTGGACACGTTTCTGTCTCTCAGTTTTCTTATCTGTTAAATAAGGCGGATCCTGCTGGCTCTGTTGCTTATTGTGAGGCTTAAGTTATTTCACATAGCACATGGCACATAATAGGTGATCCGTAAGTGGTAGCTATCTGATGATGACAATGTTGATTATGAATGACTCTCAAATCTCTGTTCTTAGCCTTCATCCTGCATTTCCAACAGCTCATGGGGCCCCTATCCAGCTATTCAAAGCCATTGTCTTTCCCCAAACCAGCTTTCAATGACTTCCTTATTTGCCTAATACCACCTTGGCTATATACCATCCAGTTGGGAAACCTTTCATTTGTCCTTGGGTCCTCCTTTGCCCCATCATCTACATATATCAGCCTCAAAGTTCTATAGCCACGTCCCCTCCCAATATCTTTTGCAATCACCTTGACCTTTCCACTAGACTGGTGTC